TTATAGAAAATAATAATAATAATGGCATTACAATTTGATACCAACACAGCAGAAATAATAAGTGTCAGACAGTGTGACTTGTATTTATACATTTTAACTTCACATGGCACAGTACATGAAGGAGGAGCTTCAAACAGATCTGTAATAAAGTTAAGTGTTTGGTTTAACTGTTCATTTAAGTCTCAGTCTCTGAGACTGACTTATCCTCAGAGGCTGTTTTTGTGTAATCGGAAAGAAAGAAGGATTTGAACAGGCAGAAAATTCTAATCAGAAGCAAATAGATACAGATCAGTGATGGGTCATGCGCGCAGAGCTCCGCGTCAAGTCAGATTCATTTGTGCAGCAGTTTAAAAACAACAGGAGTTGCTTTACAAACACGGCAAAGAAAAAACAGAGCGATAGGAAGATGCAATAAAAAGATAAAAGAAGATAAGAAAAAAATGAGTCATTAGCAGAATCTTAAGACAGAATCAGGCTGAATTAAATGCAAGATTCAAAACATAGGTTTTAAAATTAGATGTAAAACTGTCAATAGTAGAAGAAGTCTACTGTGGGGGTGGGAGACTATTCCAAAGCTTTTGGGGAAACAACATATAGAAGCTCGGTCTCCTTCAGCTTTTTGACGAGAAGGGGGGGGGGGATTGACTAAGAGTTGTTGTGAAAAGATGGAAAAGGGTTGTTGTTGTTGTGAGGGGAGTAATATGATCTCTCGTCTTAAGTCAATATGATTCTTATGTGGTGAAAGCTGCTTCTCACGATGCTACAGACCTGCTTATCAAAATGAATGACAGTAAGAACAGTGTGTAGGAGGCGATTACCATAATGACAAGACACAATAACAGTTTTCCAGTGACAGCTGACTCACTGTTCAGCTCTGACTGGTCACTAATCTATGTGTGTGGCTGTGTCACACACTTAAGTTGTCATAACATTAGTGATTACAGATTTGAACACACTGTCAACCGAGACCATCAACACCGTCCCTTCAGATTCAGTCTGAAAATTCATCCTTGTGGTTATATACACTTTCCAGTCCATCCTTGTTCCGTTAATTAACAGCCTTGTTTGATGACGTCTTCTCAGAGCATCGTTGTTGACAGGACGTTACCAGACTCGCTCCGGCATCTACCCAGGAGTGTTGTACCCAGGCTCTATAGGCGGACTTCCTCTGAATGAGACCACCATCGCTGAGGTCCTGAAACCTTTGGGCTATGCCACAGCTGCCGTGGGAAAGTGGCACCTGGGATTTGGGGCCAATGGGATGTATCTTCCAACCAAGCAGGGGTTTGACCAGTACCTGGGGATCCCTTACTCCCATGACATGGTTAGTGGGATTGAGTTTTAAAAGATGTAATCTGTGATAGTATTTGTTAAAGTATCTTTTTCGTGTGTAGCATCAATTTGAATGTGTTTTTCTCTGTGCCTGCTCTTTCCCCAGGGCCCGTGTTGGAACTTGACTTGTTTCCCTCCAGATGTGAAGTGTTTCGGATTGTGTGATATCGGCGCAGTAACCGTCCCACTGATGCACAATGACGTCATCAAGCAGCAACCGGTCGACTTCCTGGACCTGGAGAAGACTTACAGTGACTTCGCAACCAACTTCATCACCACCTCGGCCAAGAAAAATCAACCTTTCTTCCTCTACTATCCCTCTCATGTAAGTAGCACATGTGGAATGTATATTATCAGTCCCCCCAAAGATTGTGGAAACTCTTCACTCTCCCCTTCCTCCTCCAGCACACCCACTACCCCCAGTATGCAGGTCCAGAGGCCGCCGGAAAGTCATTAAGGGGCCCATTTGGAGATGCTCTGCTGGAGTTTGACAACACTATCGGAAACATACTGACAACCCTGGAGAAGACAGGAGTCATCAACAACACTCTGGTCTTCTTCACCTCGGACAATGGGTTGGTTTGTGTTTGTGCTCAAATGAATCGAAGGCCTTTATTCGTACTTTCTTACTTCAAACTGACATTTTCACCTGCGTCTACAACCAGCAGCTGTGGAGCGTTAGCCTCTGTTCGAAGGTCAAAGTGCCTAATCTTTAGATGCACCATCATATCATTGGATTTATGGCCTTCTTGTCCATTTATTGTCTTTATCAAACGTGTTGTTGGTGTCTCTGTGTGTAGACCTGAGCTGATGCGCATGTCCCGTGGAGGTAACGCTGGCCCTCTGAAATGTGGGAAAGGCACCACATATGACGGGGGCATGAGGGAGCCAGCCATCGCGTACTGGCCAGGGACCATCCGACCAGGTGAGGACACCATGGTCAGCTGCAGAATGTCCACACTGGTGCCTTAACTGGGATTTAAAGGAAACTCAGCCAATATCAGTTCAAAGACCACATTGATGGTTTTCCTTGTTTCAGTCACATACACTGAGCCATTTTAAAAAGTAAACCACACGCCAATAAGATTTTTATACTGATCAACTGGTCTCCTTTCATCCATTCCACCAAGGAGGTCATGTTTCCCCTCACTCTGTTTGTTGCTGTTTGTTATATTTTGGTGTGGATCTGGATCCATCACTTTTAACTCTTTTGCCGTTTTCTAATGATGAAAATATCTGTCACGTTTAAGGGACTGATATCTATGAGTGAGTGAAACTTGGTGCAGTTTGTCTGAATTTAAGGGGAGTGTTGGGCCTTGCTCCATTGTGTGCCACTCTAGTTTTAGTATGAAAATAAACCCATTTAAATGTAACTTTTTAATGATTTCTGCTGCATCTCTTTAGGTGTGACTCATGAGCTGGCCAGCACTCTAGACATCCTCCCCACCATATCAACCCTGGCAGGAGCCAAACTTCCCCAGGTGATGCTGGATGGAGTCGATATGACAGAGATCCTTGTCCAGCAAGGAAAGGTAGCTGGTGTCATACCTCACTGCAGCAGATTGAAAACCAAGATAATGTATTACGATGAATTTCATGATGTTTTTAAAATTCTTGTTTTGCAGAGTAAAAGGGAGACGATGATCTTCTACCCCACAGACCCCAGTGAGATGTATGGTCTGTTTGCTCTCAGGTTGGGGAAGTACAAGGCCCACTACTACACACGAGGTAAAATAGGTTTCATGTGCTCCAAAGCAGAATAGCATCATCAGAACTGAGGTGGTTTTGACTTGTGGTTGCTTACATGTTTTTGCATCAGGTGCCACTCACAGTGGCACGACCCCGGACCAAGACTGCCCAGTATTCGCTGTTCTCAAGGCCCACGACCCTCCTCTGCTTTTCGACCTGGAGTTGGACCCCTCTGAGAACTACCCGCTGCCTCTGATGGGGAAACCCGACCTCAAAGCCCTGCTGGAGAGGATGAAGAGAGTCAAGCAGCAGTTTGAAGCCTCCATGGTGTTTGGGCAGAGCCAGGTATCAAAAGGAATAGACCACAACCTGGAGCCGTGCTGCAATCCTCAGTGTACCCCCAAACCCAACTGCTGCCAGTGCTGATGGGACAGATGTGTGGGGGAGGCTGAAGGTACTGCACGGATTTTACTTTACTTCAGACTGAAAAGTAATTTTGCAAATAATCTGTTTTCCTCAGTGAGGAAAAAATGTTTTTAATGTTAATATTGATTATATTTCTAACTAGAAGAGCACCCAGAGGAAGTAACACTCTATCTCACCATGTTAAAAACAGCGGAACATTCATGGATACACACATCTATCTGGATCTTTTGCCATGGGTCATTCCCCGACCCGACACAAATGGAAATTGTTTCAGTCATTATTGCGAAATTCTGCAAACTAAAAAAACTGAGAAACAAAGGCAGATGAAAACATAACCTCCTCAGAGGAGGAAATTATGCAATTATGCACTGTATAATTCCCTCTGCCAAGGAAGGTATGTTTTCGTTTGTCTGTTAGTAGAATTATGCAAAAATGACTACTTTTACCAAAACCTGGTGGAAGGATGTGTAATGAGTTTGGAAAGAACCCATAACATGTTTAGGGGGGCTCATCCAGAAATGTTTTTTCTCTTTCTATAAGATGGTGAAATAGTTTTAATTGATCCATTGTGAAATTAAGCATTCTTTCTCATCATATGATTTTCAGTATTAATGAGGATTTATTTGTGAAAATGTTTTGCAGCACATTTCAATCACACAAACAAAGAGTGGATGTGAACAATAAAGACGTGCAAAAAGTTTTGGACATCAAGCATATATTTTATTCATAAGACCAGATCCATGACAAGGCAGAATGATTTTTTTTTTGTCATTTTTTTTCTTTGTTTTCAATTTTACAAGTCCTTGGTTTTAAAGATACAAGATAGGATATGTTGGTTCTGTCACATACGGTTTTGCTCTAGGTATACAGTGAAGAATCTTGTTAATGTAGTAAAGTCAAAAGTTTGGTTTAACTGTTAATGTATGTCTCAGCGGCTAATATGGGAGGAGATCATCCTCAGTGGCTGTTTTTGTGCAGTTGAAAGTGAGGAAGGATTTGTAACAAGGTAGAAAATCATAGTCAGAAGCAGATAAATACAGATCAGTGATGGGGAACGCTGTCAGAGCTCAAAGGTGATTACTACAATCACCAGTATAGTTTTCCACCGACAGCTGACTCAGTCTTATCTTTCCTATTCAGCTCTGGTGGGTGTGTCACACTCTTCATGAATATGCCCTACATGTGCTGCTGAAGCCTGTTCATAGAGACTTTATGGAATAAATCCCACCTGTGTGACAGAGACTGGGATAAACACCTTGTGTGGAAACATAAGACACTGAAATAAAATTATTGCAGATCACAGATATTTAACGTTTTTCAATCTTTCAGGGCCTTTTGTCTGGTTGTGATCTTTTTGTTTTTTTATATTTCTTTTTAGTTAATGTACATATTCATTTCAGTAACATACTCAACATAAAGGACACAGCACTATCTTAGATTCGCTATTGTATATACATGGTCTAACTGACAGCGATACATATGCAGATAACACCCTGCCTTCCTCCTGTCATATTAACATTCAGTGAAATCCTGCAAATAATATGAGGTGCTTGTTTGTTCTGGTGGACTGTGACTGAAAGCAGCAGAACAAGAAGCCAAACAGAACGAGCGTTTGATGAGGATGGTCGGGAGAGGTAAAACCTCAAAGCCTAAAATTTCATGTAGCAGTCGGCTGTGGTGACTGCATCATGTTCGACCCTCTCCTCTTTGTAAGGTGCTATAAAATAAGTCGGTTATTGTGTAACGTGTGAACGATGCTGTAATCCTTCACCGGACTAAAAGCAATAAATAAATAAATATGGGACCATGTTGCTATCCCTCCTGTCTTTCATAGTTAAAAACAGATCAAAGTCTAACCATTTACATAACTATAAAACTTCATATTTAACCCTTCATTAAAGGTTTAATTCAACTTTGATACCAAGTCAGAGAATTAAGCAAGTCGCTCTCACTGCACAGTAGCCACCACTCGGCCAAACAACTTTACTGCCACACAGTCCAGTCGTCCCTTCCAGTTTAACCGCCCAGTCAAAAGCAAAAAACAAAGACAAGAGCGTCACTGAAATCCAACAGTCAGAGGTGTGAGGATATGGCTTTTCAGAGGGCCTTTGACCTTTCTGCTTTCTTTGACCTGTAAGTCACATCAATCATTGCAAAGCACACAGTGACGATCCACGGTTTTACACGGTTAAATGATTTCCTGTGACGGCTCCCCACGGTGAAGCTCGACAAACATATTTTCAGGACGGGACAAAAGTAAAAAAAACGGTTCTGTCAAATCCCTACAGATGTGTGGACAGTTACCACGCTCAGTCTGAATAAAACATCTGCAGGGCTAATGACATTCAAAGTTCAGTTCCAATCATTACAACTTTTCAAAAAGAGTCAGTCGTACATAATCTCTACTTACTTCTGTCAGTCATGAATACCTTAAAGAGAACTAAGAAGAAAGTCCCCTCCATTAGCTTCAAATGTGAGTGTCTCTTAATTAGTGTGGATGAGGCGCCTGTATGTCTACTCTCTATACATGTATTTACAACACACACTACGTCTTGTATGCAACACATGGGTAAGCTCGGACCAAGGACGGTTCACTGTACTCTCTCTACTTTGCTCCAATGTCACTATCAGTAGAAATCTAATCAGCAGTTTGCCAATATTGAACAAATACATATTTACAGTTAATCAAACTCCCGGCCTCCTGATTCCACACCGCTCCCGTACTGATTGTTGAGCTGCTTGCCATTCACTTGGATATGTGTATTTCTTGTGTGTGTCTGTGTGCATTAACCCTACTAGCCATGCATTGAAAAGTGAAACAGCAGTAGTAGGTAACATCATTTTTTTTTTTTTTTCATTTCAAAAGAAGAACCTTTAAATAAACAGGTGCTCAGCGTCTTAGTTTTATATCATAGAAAAGGATAAAAGAAACAGGCAATCAACCCATCGAGGTGATGGGGATGAACAGAGAGAAAGAGAGAGAGAGAGAAAGAGAGAGATGGATGAAGTAAGTCGCATACTGTAGAAATGAAGTTCCCAGTTTTTAGAGGGACACAGAAGAGTATTTTTTACTATGGAGAGAAGACCCCCCACTCACAGTGCCCTCTGGTGGCAAACTTGATGAACATACACAAGCTGTAGAGGAGGAAGGTGGTCGTCGCTGCAACACTTCTTACTCTAGGTAAATGTCCTCAGTGGGGCAAGCGTACTCCAGATGTTCCTGGTAGTACTCCTGGAAGGCTCGACTGCAGAAAACACAGATGAGAACATGACGAAATATCTCAACAATCCCTCTATTTTTACACATCCAGACTTCGCAATTTCAGCAAATAATTAACTCTGCAAATAAGAGTGGGGTTCTTCAGATCGTAAATTAGGTTATAAATATGATATCTCAAGTTTAATTCTTCCTGAAGTCTGAATCGTGTGCATGTCAACAAAGTTTGGGAGAAAAGGTTTTTGCCAAAATTCTAAATTTCAGATTGTAAACTTCTGATGCCTACTGTAAACTAAAGGATAGTATCTATGGCAATTGTACCTGCTGGCTGTGCCATCGACATGTGAATGGATGAGTGAACTCTTTCCTAATAAATTTCTATGTAGTACAAACAAAAAAGTGCTCAGTAAACAGAATCCTAGTGGAAACTGATTTCTTTGAATCAAGGACAGAAGCTGTTTTTCATGATGTCTGCCTTCGTCATTGGGTCTGGACCCAAGAGAGAGCGAGCAGGATGAGAAGGTGATAGATGAATCAGTTCAGCTCTTACTCAGCTGCCTGCTTTCACTCCATCCAGAGACAATGAACTATCTGCATCTTTAATTATTCAAATCTGACCTTACACACAAGCACACACACAAAAGACTAGTGTGTAAAATAAACCTGGAGCATTGTGTTGTTATCCAGCTACAATAGGGAGTAAAAAAATGATACCAATATTTTGGCCGATAAATATTTTCCAAAAGAATTAGCAATGATTTCTAAGACGTCATTATCAAACCCGAAGATATAGAAATTTAATTGAGGCTTGATATTTTACACTTTAACTATTAACTTTATTATAATTATGAATAAAAAGAAAACCCGATTGCAATCAAATATGTAGAACTTGAATTAGGACAATAAACATAAATGCACATCTCTTTCTGCATAGTTAATTATGTAAAATAAGTTTTCATATAGGTGCATTTCAGCAGACTGCAATATAAATCATCAAAGAGCATCATTACTGTCCCAGGATCTGTGCTTGATGTATAGTAACTGATCTAAATGATGTAACTCACCCAACACACTCTGCTACAGGTCGCATGGATTCCTGGGAAACAAACACATGGCAAGCAAATCTGTTCAGCATGGGGTGCTTGGTGATGAAGCCGAAGTAGCTGCAGAGAGAAGAAAACAGTGTGATGCAATCAGTCAGCTGTTCCACTGGAATCTGCAAACATCAAGACAGAAGATCGTTTGTTTACCAGTTGTTCCTCGGATGGCATCCACAGAACGAGATGTTCTTCATCTGGAAGAAGTGACTACATCTGTCGTACTGAAGAGGTGCGAGAGACGCACAGAGGGTGTTTAAATTCAAATGGTGTACAGAATACACACAGAACAGTTTGCATTCACAGTGTCAACATACTTTCAACCCTGAGTTTGTTCATTTTGAAAAACTTGAAACTTGAACATGAAAGGATGGGATCAGATCATGGGGCATATTTAAGATTTTTTTTCACATCTATCATTTTTAGTTTTTGCACATTTTCACTGATTTCTTTAAATAATTCATGGATCTTGATGAAAAAATCAAGCATGTGTGGGAGACTGATATCAATAATTTGGTGCAGACCCATATAAAAATCATGATTGATTGTCAGTGGAGGTATGACCTCTACTAAGTGACATGATAGATTCGATTTTTTTATGCTAAACTCTGATCCTTAACTCTGTAGTTTACAGGTTCATTCAATATACTTTAAACAAATTGTCGTAAATGGTCAATAGAGCACTA